TGATCCTGCTTGGCCTGCTGTGTTTATCCAGCTCTACACCTTGTTATTTCATCATGGATGCCTGGGGGAGGGGGTGGTTACGGTCATGCTCCACAAGAGGTGTCCCATCCCATGTTTGAACTGAGCCCCTGAGTCTAAGCTCAATGCTGAGCTCCCAGGTTAACTCTGTCCTGACTGCATTCCAATATTGGGTCTGTCCTGCTCCGTAGACATGACATAGCCAGAGATGGTGATAGTGGTGCTTGGTCATTGCTTGCCCGGCCACAGTGAGAGGAAGGAGAGTGTGATGGGAAGGGGTCATATAGGAGATTTTACAAAGGTGTACAATGGGGTATCCATCAATTCTCCCATTAAACATTGCCAGCACAAGGACAGCATAGACTTAGATACAAAATAAATCTCACTCTACACTTTTAAACTGAAAGTTAAGCTCTTTCTAAACTGTCCCCCATGAAACACTCCCCAGACAGGGACAGAATGGGCTTATACACAAAGTAAAGATCTCTCTACTCTTTTAACATGAAAGGAAGACTGCCTTTACAGTTTTAAATGGAAAGTAAAGATTCACCAATACTGGCCCCATCAAACACTCCCAGGACAGGGATAGCAAACAGTTATATACATAGTAAAGCCTTCTCTACACAATCTCCATAAAACACTATTGGAATAGGTACAGCACGGGGTTAGATATAGAGTAACACTCACTCTACGCTGTCCCCTTCAAACATTCCTAGGACAGGGACAGGACAGGGTTAGATACATGGTAATGCTGCCTCTACACTGTCTCCATCAAACATTCCCAGGACAGGGACAGCACGGGGTGAGATGGAGATACAGAATAACGCTTCCTCTACATTGTCCCAATCAAACACTCACAGGGCAGGGATAGCACAGGGTTAGATACAGAGTCACAGTCCCTCTACACTGTCACCCATGAAGCACTCCCAGGACAGCACTCCCCAGCATGGGGTTAGATAGAGAGTTAAAGCTCCTCTACCCTTTCCACATCAAACACTCCCAGCACAGGATTAGATACAGTTTAAAGCTCCCTCTCCACTGTCCCTCATCAAACACTCCCAGTACAGATACAGCACAGGCTTAGATACAGAGTAAGGCTTCTTCTATACTATTCTTTTCAAATGCTCCCAGGGCAGAGATAACAGGGTTAGAAACAATGTAAAGCTTCCTCTACACTGTCCTCATTGAACCCTCGCTGGAAACTGCAGGGGATTATGTACAGATAATGCTCCCTCACTGCTATTACATCAAACACTCCCAGGACAGGGACAGCACGGGGTTAGATACAGAGTAAAGCTGTCTCTACACTGTCCCCCCCATCAAACACTACCAGGACAGGGACAGCACGAGGTTAGATATAGAGTAAAGCTCCCTTTACATTGTCCCTCCAACACTCCCAGGACACAGGACCTGTGTGCTTTCCAACATTCATGTCATTTGGGGACATGTGCTTGTACTGACAGCACTGTGTCTCAGAGGATAACTGTCCCAGAGACACCAAAGGGCTTTGAACTGCATTGAGTGGTCCCACCTCCCTGGGGACCCTCAGTAGGCTGTATAATGGCTCCTGCCCAAAGCAGCCTCTGGAAGTGTGGAGCTGACTGGCCCTGGTATCTGTGAGCAGGCTGTGGGCATGGAGGTTTGAAAGGTTCATGGGGAATGGTGGTGTAACCAGATCACCAGATTGGCCTCAGTCTTATTGAATGGTGGAGCAGTCTTGAAGGGCCAAGTGGCCTCCTCCTGCTCCTAATTCATCTGAACGTAAGAATGGGCCATTCAGCCCTTTTGAGCCTGTTCCGCCATTCAATGAGATCATGGCTGATTTGTGGCCATTATGCCTTAGGCTCATATCCCTTCACACATTTGCTTAATAAAAAAAAACTATCTCAGATTTAAAATTAAGAACTAACACAGCATCTGTCATTTGTGAAAGATGATTTCAAACCTCTACCATCCTTCATGTGTAGAACTGCTTCCCACTGAATGATCTGGCCCTAATTTATAGACTACACTGTAGTTCTAGAATCTCCTACAAGTGGAAATAGTTTATTTTTATTGCCCCTCTCTTTTCCTTGAAGACTTTGACCAGATCACCCTTTAACTTTCTAAATTCTAGAGAAAACAAGCCTAATGTGTAAAATCTTTGCTCATAACACCTGGAGTCCAGGTATCATTCTTGATACCATGCACCGTACTCCCTCCAAGGCCAATATATCCTTCCAAAAGTGCAGAGCTCAGATCTGCACACAGCACTCCAAGTGAGGTCTAACCAGGGTTTTGTAAAGTTGAAGCATAATTTCTGCATCCCCATACTCCAGTCCTGTAGACTTAAAGGCCAGCATTCCATTATCTTTCTTGAATGCGAACATTTGCTGATTGATAACACAGAAAACCTACGTTTGTGAAGCACCTAATGAAATTCCCCCAGGGGCTTCACAGGAGCACGAGTCTGAAACTGATCCACAGCAAAAGATATTGCACCGGATTGTTAGAAATCTCAGTCATGGAGATGGGCTTGAAGGGAGTAGGACGAAGTGGGTGGATAGGAGTGGGTTTACTATGTCAGGTGAGAATTTCAAAGCTTGGGATTTGGGGGAATTTGGGCAACTGAAGCCACAGGTGGAGAAATTAAAACTGGGGATGCACAAGATGGCAGGATTAGGGGAGCATAAAGAACAGAAGCAGGAGTAGGCCATTCAGCCCCTCGAGTCTGGTCCACCATTCAATACGGCTGATGAACCAACTCAATAGCCTGTTCTAGCTTTCCTGCTCTATTGACCGATCCCTTTAGCCCAAAATGCAATATGGAACTCCTTCTTGATATCAGACAGTGTTTTGGCCTCAACTGCTTTCTGTGGCAGAGAATTCCACAGGCTCACCACATTTCTCTTCATCTCAATCCTAAATGGCCTACCCCATATGGTTAGATTGTGACCCCTGGTTCTGGACTCCACGATTATCGGGAACATCCTTCCAGCATTTACCTTGTCTAGTCCTTTGGCAGAGAGTGGGGCAGTGGGATTAGTTTGGGGATTGATACTGGACCAAGGGGAGAGAGCATGGGGCAGTGGGATTAGCTTGGGGATTGATACTGGACCAAGGGGAGAGAGCATGGGGCAGTGGGATTA